CGTGTTGGTATGCGCACATATGATCAGACGAAGAAAAGTGAAAACTCCTATTGATAGTGTTGAATCGATTAGTTGTCACTCAACTAATTGTAATAGCTGCATTTCAACTTTCCACATATAAAGTATAAATATATGAAAATAAAAAGAAAAATGAAGTCATTAAATCCTAATTTATTAACACCCACGACGAGTCATGGGCGACAACAAATCAATTTTCTCAACCAGGATTTGGATTTCGTTGGGTAATGGTATATTGACAAATCCTGTGTTGAGTTAAACACAAAAATATAAACGAACTTCATTTTAATCTGACGACCATATATCATTGACTGGTAGCAACAACCTTAAATTTCATTAGTTCATCACAAAATAAAATAAAATAAAATAAAAATAATATCCGAGGTGATGCCCACAATATCATCTACCGTTTGCAACAACTTTAAATTTCCAGAATTCGTACATCACCCTTCATCTTATGATTCACCTCAACGTGGGAAGAAGGAGAAATCGAGCAACAGAAGAAGAAAATCGAACATGAAGATAATTCCAAGAGTTGACAAGGAAATAGCCCACCACCGCGATATTTAATTAGTTTTGGTTATATATTCATAATTCTGATTAATTATTTTGTGCCCAGCGTTTATGATTATGTGTTGGGAATAATATATCAATTATTATCTTATATGCACTTAATCTATTGATTGATAAATAGTGAGTTGAATCTAGATGATTTATTTATCATTAGAAGAAGCATATGAGATGGATAATTGATGGAATTTAGGCATTATCGTTCTTAGCCAAAGTAATTATACAAGTTAGTATATAACAAATTAGTTATTTATTGCTTGTGTTGTTTGTCACTAGTTTTTCACGCTATAGCTTTTATATATTATTTATAAATTAATCGATATTCACTCACCGACTTAATTTATTCATTCGATTATTGTTGCCTCATACATCGTACACGCTACTTTTTTTTTATTATTTTTTTAAGACACGTACTTACTTCCAAGTAATTAACTTATCATTATTGGTTATGAACGACTTATTATGTTTTTGCTCTACCGTTCAGGATGCTACAGTAGAAACATAGAATGAAGATAAGGCAAGTCAAGGCAAATTATTACACAACATTATTATTCAAATGTCATCTGCTTTATTCGAAACTTATACCTTATTACACAAATACAACAATGGGATCCTCGTTACATCATTTTTTGATTAAAGACAGACAATGCTCATGTACCTAACTAGCTAGATACATAATCAAGTACTTTAGTGATTTTGTTTCTGGTAAGAGATGAAAAGAGTTATAGAGTTATGGTGTCGATAAAATTAATATAAACCACCAGCAGCAGAACATTTCGAGGAACTTTTTAATCTTTAATACGAGTAGGATCCTCCACCACAACCGAATGTTTGCCTAGATTTCGCTTACAATCCCAAGTAATACCACAATGGGGGAAATCAATAAAAGCATCTTTACGAGTGGGGTTCACCGTAGTCGAGCGTTTGTAAGTGTCCGCAAGACTTTGAGAACTTCAAGATTACGAGCTTCTCCATTGTAAGTATAGTTGAGAACTATCAACACCAGCAAAAATATAAATCCTTTAACAAAAGCCATTTTTTCCTTTTTAGTTCTCGAGTGGAAAATACAAGAGAATTGTAAATGGTAAGGTATATACTAGTGAGCTTATGTAGGAACAAAAACGTTGACCTTTCTTATACATATGTTGGTATATGTGTCCTAGAGACAATCTTTTTTAGGACATATATACATAATCACATTAATAATTATATTAGAGTATAATTATGGTATTGTAATTAATTAAATAATTGTTTGATTGTTTGCAATTTATTAATTAATTGCTCCCTTGAGTTAATACTGTCATTAAAAGATTGAGATGTTAATTGATAAAGTATAACTCTCAAATCGCCTCAATCGATGATCATTACGAAAAGGATATTAATAATACGCGATAGATTGACATGTGGTCTACATCACATTTTTAGAGAATATAGTATGTCTCACTACTATGAATAATTGTTATCCGTGATGGACACATGGATACTTTGGAGTATTGGCATAACCTACCGATAAACCATTTATTTATATGCCTATGGGAGTATCGGTATGTGGAATGGTGTAATAGTAGTCATTTGACTTGAGGTCAATACGCAATTCATGTATAGAGTGATTTATGTAGACCTAGTCCAATGCTTACGCCCTATGGCTAGATACGGGCTTGTGTTGGGTTGATCACGATACATGGAATTGGTAGTTGAGCCAAGATAAGATTCATTCCTCGAATATGGTTTCGAGAGAACAATCGTTTTCTCTATACTGGGTTGATAAAGTCATTGGCTAATGCACGTGATTATATTTGAAATGGTGTTCAAATATAATTGATAAAATCAACCAGTAAGGTGAGATAAAATGATTAAGCTATTTTGATAGACACAAGTTCAAGTCTTAATCTTAATCGAGTGGTTCATGAATGAAGAGACCGTATCACTATTGAATTCTACACCAAAGTTTTGTTTGCTTTGTCTATGTAAACGTACTTCATATTTTGAGTTCGTCCTTCGATGCAGTCTAGGAGTTTCGTAAGCATCATAAATTAGATTTATGTCAATATATGAAAGCCTATAGGATCACACAATATGCAATCTATTTTCCGGCTAAGAGTGAATCGAGAGTGTTAAATATTCAATTGGATTGAAATATTTATTTATGAGTAATGGAATTACTTTCTATTTGATAGAAAATATTTAATTAAGTTAATTAGATTTATACTTAATTAAATTATTATTAGATTAAGTCTAATTATCTATTGGGCCATAGGATCTCCTACGACCCATATGATTAGGTTTGACCTAATTATAAATAGGTCATTATCTCATTGTAGTCTTTTACAATCATTAGATGAGAGAAAAAGAAATACGTCGTAAGAACAGAACACTTTCTTGCTTTCTGACTGAGGATTCTTAGCATCTTCACCGGAAAGGATTCATTGCGTTGAATCGTGCACCGAGATTTGGATTGCGTGGATACCATAATTGAAGACAAAACTTAAACTGTAAGTTTTCGTTAACTATTCACGCTATCTAGGATCATATCGAATAACTATAGCCGAATCTTCGTTGTTGGTAAAAAAAAATTAAAATTCCGTTGCGCGTGCGATTGATTCGTACATCGAAAAATCCAACAATATATGAATTTCATTTTCCACGAGCATCTAAAAATGCATTAAAATGAAATTACTAGCTCTATATAATAGAGTGTTAAATATCATGTGATTGGTAAGCTATGTACTAGTGAGCTTAAATGAGAACATAAATGTTGACCTTTCTTATATCATTTCATTTTCCACGTGCATCTAAAACGTATATCAAAATGAATTTACTAGCTCTAGATATATAGTGTTAAATATCATGTGATCGGGTCGCCTTCTTTGTTAGGTTTCGGTTAAGCTCGGAATACTTAATTTCTAAGAAGTATACATGTACAATTGTGATATCAATAGTAAGAAGTAAATAGAGCTTGTAGTGTTTATCTAATAGTAGAATAACGTTTCGAAAGAATTTAATTAAAATTGATCGAAGGTTTAAACCGGCTTTGGGTTGGTATTTAAGATGTCTAACAAGGTTTAAACCAAACTTCAGTTACGTATGAGGTGGGTATTTGAGATCTCTAGGCAAGTTTCTAGCTAGATCATAGTGTAATTAATGTTAATATTAAACTTCAGCTACAAAGTATTTGATATGTGAATTGCTAAACACCGGTCCCTTTTATTATCTACCCCTTGGACAGCA